TATGGCCAATCCACCTAGCATTGAGACCAGCATCGAAGAATAAACGAAAAAGCAAAAGCAAAGATAGACAGTCGGGCCAACAACATCGGGTTCTACACCTTGACTGATTAAGCATTCGTCCTCCCACTCTTCCCAACGACCCTCCTATCATCGGCCATCGAGATGCAGAACACGTTAAGGACCCCCGGTCCACCCACAGCCCTCAACAACGGACATGCAGTCGAGCATACCCCAATAGAGACAAGTGGCCGTCCATGGTGAAACAGCCCGGTTTTACCCTAATAAAAAAATTCCATACGAATGGGGAAGGGGGGGGGTGGACAAGGAGAGATGAAGCCCTTTCATTGTGATAGGGTGCTATGGGTGCTGCGCGATTTCTGCCTTTAGTTCCCTTGTGGTTAAAGCTTTCTGGGACTTCAGGTATGTTTCCGGAGAAGGCCGCAAATCGGGGATAGACTCTTTCCAGTAATGCTACCATCGAGACCAGTATACACGCTGCACCAGCACATATGAGCAGGAGGATTAGAGGGAGGTGGAAAAGGATTGCGGCATTATTCTTTTCTTCCCTAATCTGGAAATCCGTGGGGGGGGGGGGGCGTTTCTCCGCTCCCTCCGTGATGGATTTGCGCGTCTCTCTTGAGTGCTCGGGTTTGATGTAGTTGTTCAGCGCTGACGTTTTGTGTGGGCTGTATGCGACGTTTGAGATGAAGACTGGCGCTGGAGGGGGAGGGTGAGTAAACGGTGGTGGTCTTGAGTGGCTGGATGAGTTGCGCTGCAGGAGAGAGAGTACCTAGCTACGATACGGCTCCTAGGTGACCATCAGATTCAGATACTTCCAGCACCCGGGCTGCATTGAGGCGCCTTCTCGGCTTCGAAGTACCTGTACATACGTAGAATACACCACCCTCCCCTCGCCCTCACCAGTACGTAAACGTACCTCAAGACCTCACATGCCTACAACAAACGAGTCTCGTTTGTATCTCTTGCCATCCCTTTTGTTCTGAATATAGATGGCTTCCAAGATAACCGACAGTATCTCATCGCAACAGTGGAGGAGAAGGTAGCTGCCCATCAGCCGGCCGGCAAGATGGGACGAATGGTACACCACCACTGACTCAGTCCTTTCCGCTCACCGTATATTCCGGCGCTTCGCACGCGGATTGGATTTGCACTACCTGTACTAGGTACGCACCTTGAAGGTAGTAGTAAGGTAGACGTGCTACGCTTCCGATTTCGGCATGCTATCTCATTCGCTCCGGGGAATGCTTACATGCAAGCGACTCAGCGCAATTCAGGAAGAAAAAAAGAAAAGAAAAGAAAAACTTTGATCTTTGCACGCCAGCTGTTCGCTCCGTCTCTTTGCTCGGGAGATCGATATGCGACTTTCAGCATCTTGGTGCCCAGTCCCAGCCAAACCTGCTAGAACAAGACATGGGGAGAGCTTGATAGAGATTCAAGGTTTGGTTTTCTCCAAACCAAGATCCAGTCGCTTTTCACCTTCTTTGCCCCCCCCCCCCCCCCCCCCCCGGCGAATACCCATCATCATCCTGGTCAAGTCTTTCAAAGATCAACGGGATTTTCCAGCCGGGAGGGTTTGTGTCTCGTGACTCTAACGGTCCATGTCAGCTGAGGATGGCGTGACAAAAGAACCATAACCCGCGCATATCAGCAATCTAAATCTTCCACCAAAGGTGGAGGGGATCATCCGACTTGTTGTGTTCTTCTTTTGCTGGTGGTGACTTACTGGGTCTGTTGATCTACATGGTTATGGTCATGGGTCAAGAGCTTGGTTTCCTTGTTGGGATTTGAATGGATCTGGGGTGGCTCTGTGGGGTATGCGCGGACTGACGTCAAGGGTTCTGTCTGTGTCTTGATGTTGAGAGTGATCAAGTCTGGTCAGGTCTGTGAGTGAAGGATGATCTATGATGAGTTGCCCTGTCCGTGATGCGATGCTCTAGTGATCTTGGATCAGCGTCGCCGTCTTGTTTTCCGGTGAGTGGTGGGGTGGAGGAGAATGGACTTCTCGCTGGGATGAATGGGGTGTCCCATCTTGGCTAACCTTATAGGAATGTTGCTCATGAGCCATGCTTCCGGCGGCAACTATTTTGATGTGTTCGATGTTCCGTCCGGTGTGTCCGCGCTACGACTGCGATCGATGACAATGACAACATGAGCTCCGAGAGCTGGAAGTGACATTTCGCTTATCGCGTGGCGCGATTTCATCCATACATCGATACGTCATCGGATATACACGTCAACTGGGAAATGAGAAATCCGACGGGAGCATCCTGACCGCGGATAATGAGGCTACATGGAGAGTGAGCTGTGAGGTAGCAGGATGGGATGCGGTTCGTTGGTCGGGTCTCGCCCGGAGAGTCGGATAAGCTACGCTTCTGTCTTCCAAGCTTAAGGGATGCATGGTGTCTTGTCTGCGTTGCAGTCGTGAGGTTATGGAGCAGTCGGTTTTGTTGGATAGGTATGTGTATGCACTGCTACGAGTGCGTCTGGAGTCTGCAGTGTTGCGTTATGGAACGGTCGTGCTGAGCGCGAGTAACACCAGTAGCATGGACAGACATGGCTTCAAAACCGTTTTCAAGAGAGGAACCGTTACCTCCCAGGGCGAGCGAGGCTTATAGCTCATCAACATGGCTGGCTTGGTGCATCAGCAGTACAGCCTGGTGCTTTCTTGTCTTCGATGCTCGTCACCTTTCGTGTAGTATGACAGTGCACATCAGCTCATCTCTGTACTATTTGGGAATGTACCTCTGCTGAGCATTGTGTAACTGATGTGGCTGACTGGCATGTACAATTCATGGAACCGAGTCCCTGTGTCGCTATTGACTCTTTGGAGATGGCAGTTCACAAATAGCTACATCCCTACACTGCCTTGGCAAGATATCACAACCTATGTCAAGTTGTGGTATCCGATGATGTGCCTGAATAGCAGCATCAGCTTGCGAGTGATGACCGCAGTCTCTTCCTACGTGTTACGTTCAATTATCTAACTACCCGAATGTGTCCGTGTCTCACTCTCAATCAGCCACAAGGCGGCCTTTCTTCATCAGAGCACCCGGTGTCCGTCTCGAATCACTCTCATATACAAGGATAAAATCAAATCTCCGACTCTCCAACAAGATACAGGTCCCTCTATCCTATCTAGTTAATCTTTCTAAGCACGCATCTTTGGAACAGGATGTACCATTGACCTGATGCGTTCGCTAAAGAACGACTCAAGTATATAGTACATCATGTCTCCTTCCGCAAGCACGCTTGACCGACGGATCAGCTCGTATATGACTCAGAACCGTTGCACGAAAGTCCATGTTCGCGATTTAATATGAATCTGTGGTGGCTATGTCACCAACTCAATGTCTCTATCCACTGGGTGGTAGAACATCAACCGTGCAAGTATGAAGTACCGTTTGGCTCAAGATAATATTTAGTCACACCTGTATACATGTAGCTAGTCTGTATTGGACTGGTACGGTTATATTCAGTTTCTGTTTCTTTGGATGTTTCCGGTATAATGACGCCCCCTGCCATGGGCTTCATAGGGGCTTGGGATCTCGTGAACATGATGGATCCAGATACCTGATAGGTAGACTTAGCACTCATGTATCCGATATCTGGCAGACATATGAGCTCTCGATGTTCGACTCGCTCAGGAGAGCCTAAGAAGTTACGAATCGCGATTTTCGCGAGAGGGCGAGAGAGAGAGAGAGAGAGAGAGAGAGAGAGAGAGAGATACAGAGGGTAAACAAGCACATGCATTACTGCTGCCGGTAACATTTGCCTCGCGATCGGGATCAATCGCTTGTTTCACAGTAGTCGATCAGCTTTATATATATCATCGGGAGCTGCGGCTTGGCCACTATAGAACCACACCACAAGACGGTTAAGGAGATGGCCGTGGTTCACGCACGTTGGATTTGACATCCTTCATGATCTTAGGACCCCATGGTCCTTGAGAGGTTACGGACCGGAGTTCGACCAGGAACATATAGTGACAGATCTTCCTCGAGCGAACGTGGTGACATCCGGCTGGTCAGTGCTCACACCCCGCTGTGCAAGATCGAATCGATTCTTCGTCAACGTCGTACAGAGCTTGCGGGTTGGCGCGGAAGTAGAGTTCCGAACTCGTTCAGGTGGCTTGGACTCGTAGCAAGATTGGATAACTCAGGAATGGGTGATATGGAACGATTTCTTGATTCCTCGGTGGTTTGCTGGATGGAATAGCTAGGATCTCAAGGTGCGCAAAACTCACTTGGTGAATCGCCTCGGATCACGTGGTTTGGATTGCTCTAGAACGCCGACAGGACTGCAGGACCGGTGGAATGAAGGACATCGAATGGCTTTGGATGGGATTGTCGGTCGCATGGCTGGTTGGTGCCAGTTGCATCTATTTTGAATTCAGCGATGTCCGGATTTCTATTAAGAGATGCAATTCCTGCGCAACGAGGGATAGAGGACTTGTTTAGCTCTTTTCTGCCACGTGGAAGCTCTTTTTGCCCCCCCGTATAGTGTCAAGGAAATAGCTCCAGATCACCCAGTAGGAATCTCCTAGGTCCGTGGGATGGGTTGTATAGCATCTATAGTTAACTTCCTAGCTACTTTGAGCTAGTAACTAGGTTTAGCTTCGAGATAAAGGTTCCCGCGCACATACTCAGCAAAATATAGATCCGCACACACAAACCTTCTCAACTCGAATCCCATCATTAACTTGCCATATCCGGTCTACATCGAGACTTGAATTGAATCCTGTGGTTTGGTTTGGAGGTAGGAAATGCGCTCGTTGACCCAGGTACTAGCGATTGGACCTGCTAAGGATGAATCAAGTTGACCTTGTCATTACATCATCCGCCGATGATCGACTTGGTCGTAGGGCTATGGAGCCACATTCACCATGAGACACGCCCACCCTGTACAATACCACGGCGCGAGCATATCTACCACAACCACTTGCGCTTTTTGCTCGAAGAAGGCGGAAGGCGGGTGTCTCTAAGACTTATGAATCAGGGGACTGGCTCTTATCAACCAATCTTGCAGCACCATCACCAATAAGTCTTTACATCTTATGTACATTGCTTTTTTCAACAATCACAGCATCGATCGCCACTATCGCCTTATCCTACACCCTCTACACCGTGATTGGCAGCGATTGACAGGACAAAGCACCCTTTGCAATGGCGATCCGAACCAAGCCGTCGCCATAGGAAGATTTGATCCTCAATCACAATCACCGCCCGGGACTGAACACGGATTCCGGGGAAAGGATTGATAACCCGATAACAACAACCATCCAACCCGTGGTGCCAATGATCAAGACCAGAGGAGCAGTGTGCTTATCGCAATGATGCGCAACGGTTGAAAATCGCGCTCGCGTGACTGGTTGACAGGACATGAGGAATGATTATTAAAGCAAAACAAGTGAGAAACAAAGTAAGGTTTTTTTTTTTTTTTTTTTTTTTAGACTCCGTGCTGATAATGGGTGTCGTGATAAGAGGGTTCGGTGATGAAATCGCGATTGTGATGGAGGGTGGCCGAGGAAACGTGAGAAGGAGCCTGCCTATAAAGACACCCTGGTACTGGCTGTCCTTTTTCGCTTTCGACCTGGATCTAACAGTCCATTCATCGAAAGGCGAATCTACCCGATACCCCAGGGGTAACATGAATCACGTTCGTGAGGACGAAGAGGGCCTCTCTCCAGGATTTCCCTCGGCAACTGGTCTGGGGTCGGAGAATGCGGAGAAAGAAAGAGGAGATGGATCGAAACCACCAGTCAAACAGCCTCACTTTATCGTCGCTCTCGGAGTTCGGGCAGGAGGAGATGAACCTCGATACTTTCTTAGATGATAACAATGGGTTTCAGCCATTTGCCGGTCGATCGATAGGGCAATCCACGACTGTGATTCGATTGTGTCTCACACGCAACCCCCTTTCTGGTTGATGACTGTGAGGACAGATTGCAGGGTTGCAGGTACGACCCAAATGTTAGACATGGTTCCTTATCTTTGACAGCCGTCCTCAACGGATGTCAATATGCAGAGTTATCAAGGCGATCGAAACCTTCGGGGACTGGGACGGCCAAGAAAGAGGTGAGCACTGCAGTACATAATCCAGGCCCATCCCGGGCTTGTGAATCTCATTTTCCTTCCTGTGTCTCTTGAGTGAGCGAGTAGAAGTGTTTCAAGCTCGTCCTGACCGCCATTTGAAGTGATGATGCCTGAATATGTTGCAGTGTGGTGGGGGATGGAGGTTTCCTGTAAGGGAAACTGAAAGGGGCAAGCTTGAACTTGGAATGCTGCTGTTGGGCACTCTTTGGCTGCATCGGCCTTTTCTTCTTCTCCCAATACCTTCTTGTTGTGAGGCCGGATTGTCTATCGTCGACATCCAAGGGATACTTTTGCTTCCTCTTATGCGCCACAGCCTACTCCACACTATTTTCCCACACTATTTTCCCACACTTTCCCCCATCCAGATCCCATCCATTGCGGCTCGCCAACCCAGCGATCCACCAACCATCCACCATCCATGATCCGTCGATTATACCCTCTAACTACAACCTACTACCTCTGCACATCCCACCCCACCACCCGTCAGCCTAAATCCCTCCGAAGGTCGAGACAGGTTTTGGTCAACACACTTCCCTTCTAGTCACGTCACGTCCGGTCCTCCTCCCTGAGGCCACTGCCCGTCTCTTTCTATGTCTGACTCGATCAGAATGCTGATCAAGCCGCCTACAGAGCTTCAGGTCGGGTGCTCGGAGGCCGACTTTGAACCTATCGCTTCGTATTGCAAATGCGCCCGCAACAGCCGCATCATGTACGAATAAATAAGTAAGTAAGCCTCTGACCAATCTGACCAATCCTGCAGTCAGCATTCAACAAACCTGGCTGCCTTCTATTGGGGTCTTAGGAGGACAAGCCATCCTCGTCCTCATGGTGCAACCGACACAGGATAACCAGGTGAACTCTGTCACACTCCACATCCATCAACCCGCCTGCCAAGCAAAGGATTCCTGGATTGGGCATTCCGCAGCTGAAGGCTTGGAGAGGATGAAAGGATGCGTGAGATGGCGGATCAAGCTCAGCATCTCGGGAGCGGGTTAGTTTGGGGGAGGGGATAAACTTATGGGGTACTCCGTACTCCGTACAACCAGCCGGTTTCGTCCTTCCGTCATCCAGCAGCAATGACGAAAATCCCATAGTGTCGGACCCCCAAGAAGTGGAACTGAGCCGTTCTATCACTATACCCATACACATTATGGATGGATGAACTATCGTCCCTCTACGCTGGGTAAAGTCTGCATTTGCCTTCTCCTTGGTCAACTACCTCCGGTCGGTGGCGTCCTCGCTTGATTGTCCGTTGTGAATGTTGCCTGATGTTTTGTTTTTTTTCTTCTTTTTTTGGCTGTTTACTTTGCCTCACGCACGGCAAGGGAGCTTTAACCGACCACCTCCCCCCTTGAAACATTCATCCATACCTGCCGAAGGTTGATCCCGATCACGTCGACCAGGCTTGAGAACATGCTATTACGACGGTGGACTTACTCGAGCAGGTTAGACCCAGGCACGCCCGATTGTTCAGTTGGTCAGTGTGTTAATCCAGGGTGCCGTCGGAAGTTGGAGAGCTGCATCCGGACGAGAAAGGGAACAACCCTAAGCCGTGCTTGCTTGCGTGGCTGTCGTCTCAGATCCCTGCCGCCCAGGCTATACGGACTATCTTATAGTGGATGATGGGCTGTTATTGGACGCCTCTTGGATAGTTTGACTCTGGTGGGTTGACGGAGGGTTGACGGGGGATGACGGAGGTTGGTGTGGTGGTGGTGGTGGTGGTTGTTGATCTGACCCGCGATCTCGAGTCATGGAACTGAACTCAAGCTGAAGGGTGAGTGCCTCGCTCCGAGGAACCACGCATTAGTCATCCGGAGATAAGACGAACGGACCAGTCATCCATCCAACAAACAGTTCAAACACTCCCCCCCTTCTACGGGTTGACCTTCGCCTCCCTTTCCTCTTCCAGCGCCGAACTCTATAATTGCCTTTGCCACTTCACCTTCCCACTCATGTCATTTGCTGAACGACAGATGTCTCGTGCCATGGGGCAAAATTATCCACATTCACCCACACACATACATCACCCCCCTTTTTGCATGTGAGCTGATCCTCTGCCTTCTTTCCCTGCTGATGCTGTGTTAGTGGACTATTATGTTGCCTTCCTCTCACCCACCCCCCCACCCCCGCTGTTCCGGACGGTCGCTTGTACTCAATCCTGTACTTTTGATCGATGCTGGTCGACACAGAAGCCGAGGTCACGATTACGCTGCCTAGCTCATTTACCCGGACAACGATTGGTCCCGATGACCAAGGCTAATTACACTCTTATCAGCTTATCTGTGACTTCTTATCTCTGGTCCATTATGGGTCGTTTAGCGTGGTCGACACCGATTATCAAGCACTAGCGCGGTGGACCTCGCGGTCGTTCCTCGCGTGGGGCCGAAAGGGAGCAAAACGTGCTCTAGGAACTTTGTCGTTTGGAACAACGGGGACGGTATGGCCCGTCTGGCGGTAGTCAGTAGCCAGACAGAAGTCCTGTGCTCTCTTGCCCGTCTTGTTCACTGGACCCCGGACTCGACACCGACCGGTGATGAGGGCTAGTTAACGGTTACCGTGGACGACCTGGCCACGGCTTGGCTCTATCACATCCTCCATTCTTTACAGTACGCCTAGCTCCGCCGGTCTCGCCACCGCAGGGGTTGGGATGACGGGGGTGGATGTGTGGCCGACTCTTGCTCCGTGCTTTTGACACCGCGATGTGCACTGTGCTTCGGAAATGCGAATGGGTCCCCTCTTGAGAAGGATGACGATGATGTTGAGGACGATGATCACCAGCGTCATCATCAGTTTGAGCCGGCATGTCCAGCACTACTCTGAACCATGGCTGTCGAGCCAAGTTGGATTGATCTGTTATCACCAGAGCGCGAACCGACTCGGGTATTCTTCGTGACGCGATCTAGTAGCTGCATATCCGAACGGGGATCTGGCCATGGAAAACTACGATGCCGACCGGGATGCCAATTTGATTGCTTCAGACTGATGTGTCTGTCTGTCTAGGCCGCGCCTCTCTTGCCTCTAGACGCTGGGCTTGTGTTCGAGGTAAAGTTAGCCATGACCCGCCGTGCAGGGTGGATCTGCATTCATCAACCTGAATCGTGGAAATCTCCATTGATTAATATTCCACAGAGTGGGAATGGAACAGAAGGGAGGGGTTGCGGCTGTAGGGATTACACTCGTAGCGTGGGTGGCCATTTTCCCTCCCATGCCAGCAGCTTGTGTTCAGTACTGCCGCCGGTTGTCAATGCTTGTTTTCTCCGGCTGATACGCGCTTGAAAGGGGTGTGACGAGCGTGACATTACCCACTTAGATTACCGGGTCATACACGGGTTCGGGTAAGTTAGGGATTTTGGGCAGCTCAGCCTTCTCGGTGAAGTTACATAGTAGCAGAGTAGTACAGTCAGTGCATGGGAGACTTGACTACTGTCCCGGAGGACGGTCCTCCCACGGTTTCCCCCCTCCCTCCTCCTCCGTATGCTGTTGCTACTTACCTGCTACTGGACAGGCACCTGCTGCCTTGGGGTTAGCTGCAGCTTTGTGGGCGGGATTTTTCCGAACGCACCCCAACATCAAGCTTCTACTCTTCCGGGCACGAAAAGCCAGGGAGCATTGATCACTTTCTCGGACTGTGAGGGTGTCTGTCCAATGCAAGAAAATTATGTCATGATCTGATAGCCATCGCCATAATTAGAGCGAAGCTTGGGGACTTGACGTCGACGACCGGTTGACTGCACTAAACCCACAAATCCACCGTGCTCGGGAGGGAAAAGGACAGCAACCTTAATTTGAGCGGTCGTCAAGGACTGGCTCCAAGCCATGTGCTTGACCGGGCGGTGGTCCGTCCTATTCGATCAAAAGAGGGTTTGGGACTTGGGAGGGAGCAGTGTGTCTCGTCCGGACCAGACGGACTGCCCGAACGAAGTGTGTCCCATGGTCCCGCCCCGCCGTGCACAGGGACACCGACTGAGCACCAACACACTCTATAGTTACGATGCACGGTGCGATGATTTCGTTGGGACTGCCAGTGGCTGGTAGCTTGGTCCCTGCTTTTTCACTCTAGTCACTCTATCCCTCCCTCCCTTCCCCCCGTTCGGTGAGACAGGCATAGGTCCGGGTTCAGGCTCACCGTTCTGTTTCTCCGATGAACGGCGCCGCCGTTTCCTTATCCCATCCATCAACGACCTCCAAGGCAACAATGGCGATAGCTGCGCAGTCCCAGTATCTCAAACTCACCGGGCGAATCCTAATTGCAGCTTCGCTACTCCAACAGCATTAACCGATGCAGTGGCTACTCCATCGGCCCCCAGAAAAAGGAAGGATGGGGATTGGTCCGACATGCATGTA